CCCCAAAACCCCAAAACCCCATAGCCTAAAAAAAGATTATGCTGAGAGTTCGGCGCTTTTAATTCAAGTTAAGATTACATATAAATAAGTTACTTAGATTCTAATATTGACTGCTATCAAAAGAGATCGAACTCAGTTTGTTTTATCTAAAACAGAATTCTTATACATTTACTTTTTCACATATCATTTATTTATATACCTTACTCTAATGACTATCTTTAAATACTTTAAAGTTTCTTTCTTCCAAGAACACTTTTATCAAGACTTATATTTCTATTTTTCATCTTATAAACACTTTTTATATTTTGATTGACTGGCTTGATATCACTCCAAGATTATTAATCGCTGAACAATTTTATCTCCTTGTAGTGCCCGAGTTCAGTCTTATTTAGAGATCTGGGAACTTCATAGCCTTAACTTAAATCAAGTTATGGCTTTGTGAAAGTATTTATGGGGGTTATGTATTTAATTTTTGGGGTTTATTGTTGTAACTATTATTTGACTCTAATCTCAACATCATTTTAATCCAGAGAAGAATATCTTATATGTCTACTCCTTAATTCCCTTCTCTGATTCATATTGTTTCCAATATTGATTTAATTCTAACCTTCATACATTGAAATTTTGGGCAGATGCTCATGAGACAATCCATCTTGAGAAGCACTTCTAGTAATTGTTCTAACAGACTCTTTATCGTTAAAGAAGTTCTGCCTTCTTTCCAATTTCTAGTATTCAAACTCATGGATCTGCTATAATGTGCTTTGATTGCATAATTATTTCTTCTACCCCTCTAAGATTTGATTCGCAAGTCGATTGTAGTTATCATATCGATCTTAAATGCTCTGCTTCATAACTATTAGTCCATTAAAGTATCTCTGCTAATCTTAAGCACTATTATTTTAAGTCTTTACACCCACTTATTGTAATTATTGCAAGCGATACTCTCCCATTTGTGACCTGTTCTTTTGGTTTCTCATATGAGATTCAAAGGATTTATGAATACGGGGTTTAATGTTTTGTCATGCCTTAGGGAATAGATTGTGATCAATAGATAATAGAAGATTCCGCTTAGATGCTGGAAGAGCAAAAAATGTATCTCGCAGAATCTTTTGCTAATCAATGAGACTTGTATTTTTATAGCTACTATTTTGCATTTTTTTGATTATTTATAACTTTATATGTTAATTTTATTTTAATCTGAATTAGATGTAAATTCAGAGAGATGGGGTTTTGGGGTTTTGGGGAGATCGGA